TAAATGCTTAAAAATTAAACAAAGTGACCTTAGAGTATGAATGGTTAGCTTCAAACTATTATAAGCATTTTCTCTAGGACCTCTTATTCTTAGACCGCTAGCAAATTTAATTGAATACTGAACATAGTAAACTTAAGGGAGATGACCATTTGAACTCCTCATCATGATGAACTTCTTCAAACTTGCCTAGACATTTTTTATTAACAGAATGACTAGGATGGAATTTTACACAAGGAAGGTTGTGTAAGGATTCTATTCATAGAAGTTAGCACATATATATACCATAGGATAACAAAAAAAGAAGATCATCCAAACAGGTTTAACATATTACCCTTAGAAATTCTCATGGCCAGGCCAAAATCAGCAAGCTTTATTTCCCCCGAAGCAGTAAGCAGAATATTCTCAGGCTTGATATCTCTGTGCACAACTCCCATATCATGACAATACTTGATGACCAACATCACTTCCTTAAGTATATTAGCAGCCCGCTGTTCAGAACAAGGGCCCTCCCTAAACATCTGGTCGACAAGTCTTCCCCCAGAGCACAATTCCATCACCAGATGAGAGCAATCAGCTTCCTCATACACTGCCAGCAGAGTCACAACCCCAGGATGCCCAGACAAGTGCTGCATTATCTCCACCTCCCTGTAAACAGTCTCATCCCCCTTCTTCAGAGTCTTACACGCATACTCCGCGCCGCCAACAAGAGACCTACACAACGAAACAGATCCATACTTTCCTTGCCCGATCCTCACCCCAGTAACATAATCATCTTCAATCTTGTTCTTCCTCCCCATCTGGGTAGCCACGTCAATGCAACCTATCTTCCTCTTTAGGCCTCTTCCCGCGGTCATCAGAGACAATGTCCCACAAGGAGGAGCAGTGGCAAAACCCGCCACCCTACTCTTGTAGGAACCAGCTGAGTCTATCTTAGTAAAAAGAAAGAAGAAGACGGGTACTCTCTGAGAGTCACACTCTTTTTGCTTAGCTAACGTTGTTTCCTTTAATATAATATAGGATGTTCCAGTTTATGTTCTCCTGCGTGCGTCACTATTTCAAGGGGTGTATTTGATTACGATTTTAAAAAATTTCCTCAATCAGTGGAATAAAAAAATCAACAGGGTCAAATTAGGTAAGAAAAATAATGAACTAGTAAGAAAAAAAATGAATATCGTCAAATTATATAAGAAAAAGCATTGAACGTGTATAAAGTAGGAACTGTTTTAAAAAACTAATGAATAACTTTAATTTGGATTTTGAAATGGTAACGCAAATATTGAATTCTGGAAATTATTGGTATTTATTCCCTTCTTTATATTGTTCAATACCAGATTAATTACCATTTAATAGTCATTATATTAACGAAATTGGACTTTTTTCCTTACACACGTTTCTCATTTTCATCATATTAATTACCATTCAATAGTCAACAAATTTCACATAAATGTTTGACTTTTTTGCAATTTATGCTTTTTTTAAAATAGAAATCGCAACTAACGTATAGTGAAAAATATTTTTTTCCTTAAAAATGCAGTTTTTGAAAGAAAAAAAAATTCAAACAAGTCCTTAATTTTCACCTCTGCTATTTTTTAAATTGTTGAAAAGTTAAAAAAAAAAGAAAGATAAAAAGCTTTTTTTGTAATATTGCTCTTAACTTTGATCCAATCTGATACGCCAATCCCATGGGAATAACAAATTGGATTTTTTCCTTACACACATTTCTCATTTTCATCATATTAATTACCGTTCAATATTGTCATCATATTAACATTGAACATGCATAAAGTAGGAGTTGTTATAAAATACTAATAAATAACTTTAACTTGGATTTTGAAATGGTAATTCAAATTTGAATTCTGAAAATCATTGGTATTTATTCTCCCTTTATGATTGGTCAATACCAGGTTAATTACCATTCAATATTGTCATCATATTAACGAAACTGGACTTTTTTCCTTACATAATTTTCTGATATTCTTCTTGACTTTCTCCCTAATTTGTTCCCTAATTTCTATCTTAGGAATTTCCTTCATCCAATACCTCACTTTGTTTTTCTTGAATTTCCTTTAATTGATTTATCTTAATTCATATCAGGAATTTTTTAAAAATAAAATAATATATACTTGATAATGGGTGTTTCCATTCCTTCACAATAATAATAAAAGTGCTCTGTTTCACTTCTACGAGAATAAGTGTTTATTTGGATGAGTTTTCAAAAAAAAATTATACCTTACTTATTTTAGAAGTGCTTTTTATAAAAGTTAAAGTTATTTAGATTTTTAAAAAATATTTAGTTTTTGAAAAAATATTTGACTTATGTTATTTTTAGAAGTTAAAATTTTCAGTTTAAAAAAATAAATAGATTTTTGACTTTTTTTATGACTTTTGCTTTTTTTAAAAGCAGGCGTCCAAACATATTTTTTCATACATGCTTTTTTTTTTTTCTGAAGAAAGACAACTTTTTGAGAGAGAAAAATTCATCCAAACGGCCCTAATAAATTTTTAATGACATGGAAGAAAATGAGAGAAAAGATTAAGAAAGAGATGACACTAATTTTTTTAATTTTTGATTTCTATTATTTTAGTTGCTTTATTTTTCTTCTCTTGAGTCAATTGAGAAAAGATTTGAAACTTTAAAAAAAAATTTCCATTTTCTCCTCTCAATCCAAAGATGAGGTTAAGGCATGACAACTATGGGATAGGATATTGTGACACCCAAGTTATGTTACACCCATGTGACACCCAGTCAATCTCACCGTTAGATCGCTTATGTTGATCCAACGGTTATATTTATTTCCATCTTTGTATGGTCATGATTTCCTAAATTTAAAGTGAAAGCATTAAATATGGGAAATCATAACCATACAAAGGTAGAAATAAATATAAAATATTAAATTTGGGAAATCATGATCATACAAAGATGGAAATAAATATAACCGTTGGATCAACATAAGCGATCTAACGGTGAGAATGACTGGGTGTCACATGGGTGTAACATAACTTGGGTGTCACAATATCCTATCCCGACAACTATATATTAGCATATGATATTAAAAAATAAAATGGTCAAGGGAATGAGAAAAAAAAATGTGAATTGTGAAGACGATTGAAAAATAATAGTTAAAAATGTGAATTGTCGTAAAAAAACTATATAATAAAATATTATAAATTTTTATATAATTTTTTAAATATAAAACTTGGTATTTCGGTTAAAATCTATTGTCATTTGCAATTTTATACAGTTGATGAAATCTATAAACAAAAGTAAAGAAATAGATTTTTATTGTGTTATCAAACGTAATTTTGATTATCGGAATAAAAAAAAATGTGTTATCAAACGTAATTCTGATTCTCGGAATAAAAAGAAAATATGTTAACAAACGTAATTCTGATTCTCAGAATTGTTCCAAGGCACAGAAATAGAAAAGAATCATTCCTTTTCAGAAACAGTGTCAGGAATCAGAATGATTGTCATGCGCAGCCTAATTGTCATTGATTATATATCAGAGCAAACATATAAAAATGCACTAACTTTTTCGACAAACATTTCAAACATAAAATTTCACTTTCCTCCCACAACATAATAAGTAATGAACCAAACATTATTCTAATTGATCTCAGAATATGTTTTTAAATGAATAATATAAATCATCATATATTATATTATTAAAAAATAAAAGGTATGTGTAATTATGATAAATGTTTGACATGTCAAATTTTTTGCCCCAATTAAAGTTAAATTCTGGCTCCGCCATTGTGTGGAGCCATTCTTTTGGACGTTAGACGGTTTTTTTTTTGTTTTCTTGCCCATCAGTGGCGGAACCACATTATGCTTAGGTAGGGTCGGAGCCCCAGCTACATTTCAGTAAATTTTATTTATTATATAAGTGCTAACTTCTATGAATACAATCCTTACACAACCTGCCTTGTGTAAAATTCCATCCTAGTCATTCTGTTAATAAAAAATGTCTAGGCAAGTTTGAAGAAGTTCATCATGACGAGCTTTCAACTGAATTGTACTTTACTAATGTTACCCTGTACATAGGAGTAAAAATTGGAGAGTTCAGATGGTCATCTCCCTTAAGTTTTCTATGTTCAGTATTCAATTAAATTTGCTAGCGGTCTAAGAATAAGAGGTCCTAGAGAAAATGCTTATAATAGTTTGAAGCTAACCATTCATACTCTAAGGTCACTTTGTTTAATTTTTAAGCTTTTAAAAATATCAGTAATTCAATTGACATATATATAAATACACACACATAAGTAAAAGATACATACATGCATACATGAGTAATTTATGCATAGCCTCATTGTCTAGAAATTTGCATTGCAGGTCAGAACTTGACGGGTTTGGCTGGGAGCCCTGCATATGTTGCACCAGAAGTTTTGTTGGGTAGATACTCAGAAAAGGCGGATATATGGAGTGCTGGAGTGCTCCTGCATGCTCTGTTGGTTGGTGTTCTTCCATTTAAAGGGGATTCACAAGAAGCAGTTTTTGAGGCTATTAAGAATTCCAAGCTAGATTTCCAAACCGGGATGTGGGAATCAATATCTAAACCTGCACGAGATCTTGTTGGGAGAATGCTGACAAGGGATATTTCAGCAAGGATAACAGCTGATGAAGTACTTAGTAAGTTTATGGTAGATTATTAATGTTTTGTAGCGTGCTTTATCTCTCTTCCTCAATGATGAATACACCAAAGACTAGTTGTATTTGGTCTGATTTTTTGTTTTTTAATCTTGAAATAATTAAAATTAGAAATTTCCAAGTTTTGTTGAAAAGTATCTTTGCCTTTCACATGAATTCTTAATAATTAGAAGGATTGCCTTGTTTTGGTTGGGATAACAGTGGTGGGAATCTGTTAATTCTCACATACTTTTGTTAGTTTTTATTATGTGTTCTTCTATGTGGTTGAGGCTCTCTTTTTCTCCCTAATGTTTTTAAACAGGAAATAAAATGACAGTACTTTTAAGTTTTAAGAACTGTTCGATTGTTTGCATGTTAAATTAATATTATGTGGTTCAATTTCAGGACATCCATGGATATCTTTCTACACAGAACGTACATTGAAGATCCTGCCCGTTGAATCAAAGTTGAAGCACCAAAATGGAGCTGCTTGCCACAACTTTGTTGCTGCACCTGAACCTAGGTTAGGAAGAAACAGGATGGATGATGGGTTCCTTAATGAGGTTTCAAGCCTTTCTTCATCATCTGAAAGTTGCAATTCAGAATATCATGATGTTTGTGTGTGGATTGATGCACTTGCCAATGCAATTTCACATGTAAGGATATCTGAACCAAAGAGGAGCAAGTTGTGGGCAGTTCCAATTCATCAGCAAGGTTTATATAACATGAGGGCTAACCTCTGTAAAGCATTTTGACCTACTGACAGGTTGACACCCCATAAACCACTATCTCTGCTGCTTTAGCTGGGGTTTTATAGTATACTTTGCCCAACACATTCTACAGTTGGCAAAAGTGGATTACATTTTTTTCCTCTAAATAATGATTACTGAGAAAACTCAGCTAGTTGTACAGAACCTGTGAATATGATATTAGTGTGTCACTGCATGTTTTTGCTCTTGCTGGAGCATGATAAATAGAATGCTATGATTTCACTTCAGTGAAAACTTGACCCTACTCATATGTTTTTTTGGAAGATTTTAATCTGAAACCATGAGTGCATAAGCGTATGTTATCCCTCCCATAACGCGCTGCATGTGTACTTATTTAGTGTTGGCAATTTGTATTTCAAGACATACTTTTTTGTACAGATGGTAGCGAGGAGTTTGACCT